CCAAGGCTAATTTTAAAAAAATCAATATGATTCCCTAGTGAGAACAAGTTAATAGGAAAGCCATTAGGTTGAGAATAGAAGCATCAAAACAGGCATAATAAACTAACTAATTTGTAGCTCACTGATGAACATTAGCTGTAAGGTAATCGCTTCTATTAGGGGTTGAACTAGATCTTTGCAGGGTGAAGGTAAAATTGCTTTAGAGGAAGTTAGAGCCTTGAAAGGTCAAATGTACTAGGAATTGCCAAGGAAAGTAGTAGCAATACCAGGGACCACAGGTGTAAAGGAAAACTAATGTAGAATTGGATTTTTTTTAATTATATGAGCTGTTTGATTCAAATTATTTTTAAATACCCAGGGAAAAAATGCCTTGGCAACTGAAGATTGAATGAAAAAATGAATGAATATGCATTTATTAAGGTCTTATTCTGTACCAAGCAGTGTGCTAAGTGCTATATATATATATATATATATATATATATATATATATATATACACACACACACACACACACACACACACATATATATATATACACACACATATATATATATATGCATATATATATATATATATATAAATATACATGATATAAATACAAAAGCAGAAACAATCTTTGCCCTCAAGAAGCTTACATTCTGGGGTGCCTAGGTGGCACAGTGGATAGAGCACTGGCCCTGGAGTCAGAAGGACCTCAGTTCAAATCCGGCCTCAGACACTTGACACTTCCTAGCTGTGTGACCCTGGGCAAGTCATTTAACCCCAATTACCTCGCCCCCCCCCAAAAAAAGCTTGCACCTAACAGAGGAGGACAACATATAAGGACCAGTCAGTCAGTAAACATTTATTAAGTGTCTACTGTGTGCCAGGCATTAGAGAGGCAAATAAAGGCAAAAGGCAGTTCCCACCCTCCAGAAGCTCACAATTTAGTGGTGAGATATTTTGGTTTGGAAAGTTATAAGCATGGTGAATAGAGCCATAGAGGAGTATGACAAACCCTGACCAGTACTGATGGAAAAATCAATTTGATAATGGCTCCAGAATAGAAAGGGGGGATAGAGCTGGAGGGTATCCATAGAGTGGAAGTAAAGTTGGTAGGAAGATGGCCAAGGAGTGAAAAGAAGCATGGATGGGGCCACCTCTGTATAATGGATTATGTGAGCTTTGGGCTTGTCTCCAAGGAGAAAAAGGACTCAGGCCAGGTATAAACTCTGGACCTTTTCTTATATTCATCACTCAAAATTTACCCATCCTTTTAAATATTTATTAAGGATCTATCATGTATAAGGACCTACCACTACTGTAGTAGACATGGGGAAGTGGGGGTGGACAAATATAAATGAGATATAGTCCTTTCCTTCAAAGAGTTTGTAGTCATTGGGAAAGGTCCACAAATAAATATAATACAACTTAGACATGGTGAATATGTAAGAGAAAGTGCTAGGGGCATAGGTAAGATAGAAGCCAACTACTGGCTTGGAAGGTTCACCTCCTATCTCCAACTCACCTAATCTATGTAATCATGGCCAAGCCCCTTAACTGCTCAGTTTTCTCCTCTATAAAACAGGGATAATGAAATCTGTAGCAATGCCTATGTTGCTGGGTTGCTGTGAGAATCAAATGAGACAACATGTGAGAAGTATTTTGTAAACTTTAATAAGTTAGCATAATCACTGGATGCTTTATGATTCATGAAAGGGATGGCCCTTAAGGAAGAGGTGGGCTTCCTAGTGCCTCGTATTGGGGTGAATGCCACTAGAGGCACCCTATGCATGTGCCAGACCCTCATTATATCTGGGAGACTACCTGCCCCCTGGAAACTAAAGGAGAAGAGTGTGTAAATGTCCAGAGGGTAAACTCCAACTGTGAAAACACAGAGTTATTTACAGATACCAAAAGCAGCTGGATTCATTCCACCGACTACTTAATAATTAATGGGTTGTTTTCAAAACAATTGGTTATTTGGCTAACTTGAACTGGCATGGGTAGGGGTGGAGGGTTAGTTTAAAACCAGTTTGTATGTATAGACACATAGTCCAAAACCCTCCCCCTACAACCCAGGATTTATGGTACAAGTAAGAAGAGATGGGATAATGATTGAACACATCTGTTTGCAGGCATAATAAGCACACCTGTTTATAGTCATAACAAAACTCGCCCTCTTTGGGACTTGGGCTCCAGCTATACTGGGAAAATGAAAACACAAACTTGCCCCGGCTACAGCTTCCCCCTGCATCAGCAGTCCTGCCATGACCCACCAAGCCCAGTTATATTTCTCCTAATAATCAGAACCAAGAAAAGGACAGTGCTCAAGTGGGAGAGGCCCCAAAGACACAGAAGAAGCAGAGACCCAACAGAGATATCCCCAGGGGTTATGAGGAGGCACATGGCAGAGACTTAATGTGGAGACAACCAACCACAGAGCTCTCAGAGGGAGATTAGAACCTGATAGAACTCTGTGCCCAGACTCATAAAAAGAAATGGAAGTCAGCAGCCAAAAGTCAGGACAAAATAGGGCTGGACCACCCCATTCAAGAATGCAGAGCTCAGCCCTGGCACAAATCCCCCAAACAGGAATTTGAGTCTAGAAATATGAGTAAACAGAAGAAAACACTAAGCACTTATGAAGCAACATTTTAGGTCAAGGGTTGCACAAGAGGAAGTTTTAAAGGAAAAAGTAACTCAACAACTATAAGTCGAATCAAATGGGATAATATTTATAAAGTACTTAGCATATAGCAGACACTTAATGAATGCTTACCCTTACCATAATAGTCAAGCAGACAAATTCTTGCATTAACCACATCCAAAACATATGTTTCAATCTGCATTCTGAGTCCCTCACCTCTCTATCAGGAGGTAGGAAGCCTGTTTTATCTTAAGACCTTTGGAATCATGGTCATTGTGTTGATCAGAGTTCCTAAATGTTTTAAAGCTGACTGTCTTTACAATATTGTTGTTACTGTATAAATTGTTCTTCTGGCTCTGCTCACTTCAATCTACATTAATTCATACAAGTCTTTCTATATTTCTCTGAAATCATCAGGCAGCCAGGTGGTACAGTGGATAGAAGGCTGGGCCTGGAGTCAGGAAGACTCATCTTCAGAGTTCAAATCAAGTCTTACTACCTGTGTGACCCAGGGCATGTCACTTATTATGATCTGCCTCAGTTTCCTCATCTGTAAAATGAGCTAGAGAAGGAAATGGCAAACCACTTCAGTATCTCTGCCAAGAAAACTCTAAATGAGGTCACAAAGAACTCAGGTTTTTTTCTTTGATCTCTTTGGGGATTAGAACTACAGGTGGTATTTCTGGGTCAAAGGTCGCAGTTTAATAATCACTTTTGGCCATCCTTCCAAATTACTTTCCAGAATGGCTGGACCAGCTCCCTGTTCCAGCAACAGTACATTAATATACCTGTTTTCCCACGATCCCTCCAGAATTTGTCATTTTCCTTTTTTGGTTCATTTTACCCATCTTAGGGGTATGAAGTGGAACCTCAGTTTTAAATTTTTCATTTTTCTAGTTAGTAGCTATTAAGAGCATTTTTTCATATGCCTATTGGAAGCTTGGTGTTCTTCCTTTGAAAACTGCCTAGTCATATCCTTTGACCATTTGTCAATTGGGGAATGGCTCTTATTCTTGTAAATTTAGATTAGTTCATTCTATATCTTAGAAGTGAGACCTTTATCAGAGAAACTTGCTGCAAAGTTTTTTTTTTTCAATTTACCCTCTTCTGTTTTAGCTGCATTGGTTTTATTTGTGCAAAAACTTTTTAATTTTATGTAATCAAAGTTGTCCATTTTACTTTCTATGATCATCTCTATTTCTTATTTGGTCATGAACTCTTTCCCTAGCCATAGATAGCAGGTGATTTCTTTGCTCCTCTAAATACTTTTATGCTATTACCCTTTATGTCTAAGTCATGCATCCATTTGGAGTTTATCTCCAGTGGGGTTAAAGGACTTGCCAAACGTTACATAGATATTGCCATAAATGGGATTGGACCCAAGGTTCTCTGATTTCAGAGCTCCTGTTCTTTCCACTATACTATGGTGATTCTCGATCTTTTCAATTAGGCTTAGTTCATTTAGGGTACACCATCCACTTTCTCTTCAAATGGAACTACAGGGCTGCCTTTAATTGGCAGTCAGCATATTCATGCCATGCCAATCCACAAACAGAATGAAATAAGCAGAAGCCAATCTACAAGAAGAAATCCCAATTTCTTATCTGGATTTAAGCCACCTGAAATCTCCTTGTTGCTGACCTACAAATAATTACTTTACCTGCCTGGCCACTTAGCTCTCTGCCTTCTCTGAGGTTGTCCTGCCTGCTTATCCACCAATCTACCCCTCCCCACTTCCATCCTTCCCTAACCCTCTTATCCTGAATACAGCTTTAAAAATACTTTTTGCCATCCTTAGCATTCATCACCAGTCTTAGTTTGGTCTGAACTTTAGTACTCCTGACACTATTTAAGACTATGTTAAAAAAAAAAAAGACTATGTTCATGTTTTTTATTCATGTTCAGTCATTTACCCTATCATTTATTTTCTAGATATACTTTAAAAAAATCTAAATCAAGAAATGATTTGCATCAATCTCTTTAGATACTCTTCCTTTTCTTCCTCATTGAATAGTTTCTTTTTGTGAAACCCAAGACCCAGAAACAGTTTTATTTCACAGGAACACTGAACTCTTTTTTAGCCAATTTCCTTAAACTACTAGGATCAGTTCTAATTGCTTCCTCTGACCCTTGGGGACCATTTCCAACTGAATTCTCAGAAACCAGCCCTAACTGGGTCTCTGAATTGATGAACTATTGCCAAGGGTTTCTCCCTGCACCTAGGAAGTTATCGCTATCCTCTTAGCCCAGGAAGTAATCCCTAGAAAAATTCCCAGGTCTCAAGGACATCTGAGCACCTTCTCCCCCAGCACCCCAAAACACACACATACTCACACTCACACACATTTACATACTGTTACAAACACAGCCCTGGAGCTGGGTTCTCTTCTCAGAACCCTAGAAGTATAATTTATTTTGCAAGATTCGAAACCTACTGTATGCATTTTTTCCAGTAGTTTGATAAATCTAATGATCATATTTTCCAAGCAGAAATCATAGAAGAATAAAAGGATAATGTTCGGGTCCAAGAAGAATCTTCAGTTCTTAATTCCAAAACAAATGGAAAATGTACCACATCCTTGTATGAAGAAACTCAGGAATGACTTCTGGCAAGATGGCAAAAGAGACTTGATGAATCCAGCTCCACCTTATTATCTCAAAACTGCAAGAAACAAACCAAATAAAATCACAAGACAACAGCTAAGAAAGACAAAAAAAAAAAAAAGAATGAAGTACTCACAAGGAAGTCACCACAGGGGAAAAAAACACCAGTAAAGAGACTAAGGAAATGAGCAGGCAAAGAAAAAAACTTCTACTAATTCAGTGAAAAACATATTACTGGGTAAAAAATCCCAGGATAAAGCTCTAGAAGAAAAGAATAGTTTTACAAGTATAATTAGAACCCTAGAAGAGAGAATGGGAAGTTAAGCAGTGAAGTCGATAGAGTACTGATCCTGGAATCAGAAAGACTGCTCTTTCTGAGTTTAAATCTAGCCTCAAACAATTTTACCAGCTGTGTGACCATGGGCAAGTCACCTGACCCTATTTGCCTCAGTCTCCTCATCTATAAAATGAGTTGGAGAAGGAAATGGCAAACCACTACAGTATCTCTGCCAAGAAAACCCCAAATGGGGTCTTGAAGAGTCAGACGTGATTGAACAACAAAAAGAAGAGAGAATATAATGGACCATAAGAAATCCCCAAATGGTGGAAAGTTCCAATAAAAGAAATGAAAGCCGATAAGGAAATTCACTTCCCTTGAGACCCAGACATGTCCTTGGAGCTCTGGCACCTCTAGACCTTTGCTTGATTGTGCCTGGCAGATATGTCTGCCCCTTTTTATAGTCTCACTTCAAAGGAACAGCCCTGTTCTACAATAGCTGGAGCCAAGAAAATCATCTCTAATCCTGTGAAAATCACTCCATGAGGATATGTGTATCTATCAAGGAGGCATCATGGATTGCAGTCTTTCAGACCTACTCAGTCAGCTTACAGATAATGCCAGCCTGAATCACTCTATCTAGCAGTCATGAGTGTCATAGAGTGAAAAGAGCCTTGCCTCTAGAGTCAGAGAAGTTGAGTTCAAATCCTGACTCGGCCACTTACTACTAGTACAACCTTGAAAATTTTTCTGGCTTAATTTCCTCCTCTTTAAAATGAGGGCATGGGACTAGATGGCCTTGGAGGTCCTTTCAAGGTCTAGATCTGTGAGACATGAACCATGTATCTCTGAACACTTACATTAACAAAAGAGAGGAAGATAAGATATATGTATTCAATGTGTAATTTTTTAAAATCTAGAAAATTAATAAATTAACAATCCCTAAATAAGCAAAGGGGTAGAAACTTTAAAAATAAAAAAGAATATAAAGCTAATAACTAAATCTAAGCTATTCTTTACAAAATCAATGAAGTAGATAAATTATTAGCTAATCTGATTTGGGAGATTGGGCAAACTAGCAAAATAAAAGATGACGTGGGAAAAGTCATAGTGAATAGAGAGGAAATAAAGTAAATTATCAGAAACTACCATGCCTAATCATATACCAATAAACTGAACATTTTAATGAAATGGATAAATATTTACAAAAAATATAAAATTCCTAGATTAATAAGACAGAGATTATAAATAATCTAATTTCAGGATGAGAAATTGAGCAAACCATAACTTCATTTCCACTGAAAAATACCCTCGGTCCAGATGGATTTACAAATGAATTCTATCAAACATTTAAAGAACAAAGATTTCCTGTGTTATATAAGCTGCTTATAAAAATAAGAAGTCACTTTATCAAACTCCTATGAGATGAACATAGTTGATATAAAAACCGTGGAGAGATAAAGCAGAGAGAGAAAATTATAGACCAATATTACTAATTGATACTGATTCAAAATCATCAAATATTAACAAATGTACTATAGCAATATGTCCAAATATTTATTCAGATTGAATTAATACCAAGAATGCAAGGTTGGGTCAGTATCAAGAAAACTGTAAGAATTTAAAAGTGATATTAAAAACAAAAAGCATACAAATTATGTTGCTACAGTAATAAGTACAAAAAAAGTCTTGAACAAAATACAGCACTCGTGCATGTTTAAAATCCCAAAGCTCATAGTAATAAAAAGATATTTTCCTTTATATGTTAAAAATATTTTTTATTTATCTAAAACTAATAGCTAATGTTATTTATACCATAGAAATATTGGAGCCTTTCTCAATAATTTCATGGATAAAGAAAAGATGCTCACAGTTCCTATTATTATTTCACATAGTGCTAGAAATGTTAACTATAATAATAAGACAAAAAAGTGAAAGTGAGGGAATGAGCACAAAGGCAAAGGAGAAGCGGATACAAATAATTTACCCAGAGAACCCCAGAAAATCAATGAAAAATTAATTGAGATAGTTAATAGTCTCAGTAAAGTAGTAAACTATAAAATAAATGCACAGAAATTATTAACCTTCCTGTATATTAATAACAAAACCCAGGAGGGGGAGATAGAAAGAAAAATACCATTTAAAATAAGAAAAACACACTAAATACCTGGGAATTAAACCTACCAAGACACATGAAGGGTAGGTTAATGCCATAAATACAACTGCAAAACTTCCTACAGAGATAAATGAATATCTAAGTAATTGAGAGATATTCAGCTTTAATGATTGGACCTGTTTGCCATATCTATTCACTGCACTTAAGACTCCAATCATAGGATCACAGATTTGCAGCTTGAAGGAACTCTTGAGACCGTTTAATTCAATCCCCTCATTTTGCAGATCCCAGAGTATTCTGTGATTGTTCTATAGCTGTTTCCCAGAACTGTCAATATTAACCTCATAGCCTGGTGTCGTGACTCCACAGTTTCCACCAGAACCTGATCTCTCTATGATATCCATGTCTTTGGAGTCTGATGTGCAAGTACAAGATGTTATTGTGATTCCAGAGCTGACTATCATACTGACAGGGCTCTCTACCATGACAGAGCCCATTACAATACTCATAAGACTCTCTGTGGTAACATCAGGGTATGTTCTAAAAAGAACAGATTTAATCTCATCAGATGAGTCTAATCCATCATTAGAGACCAGCCAGCAGGAAAGATCCACTCACTTCAGTGAAAGGCCATCGATAGACAAAAGGCACCTGGAGAGTGATTCAGGTGAAAGTGAGTGCAATAAAAGGACAGTTTTGAATGTAAACAGTCATGGAGTGGCCAAAGAAAACTGACTGAGTTTTGGCATCAGTCTTGCAGCTATTAGGAAAATTGATATAGAATAACTCATACTTTTAGTAAAACTGAACGTGGAATGTTGTTGCTTGCCTCTCCTAGTAGTGTTAGTGGAGGGGAAGATCCAAAGGTCAGAGGACATGAGGATCTTTTGAGCTTGTGATTTCGGAGCTGCAGTATGATTAAGCCAACTGGACATATGCACTAAGTCTAATACCAATATGATGAGCCCCCAGAAGTTGGAGGGGCACCAGACACCCTAAGGATGAGTGAACCAGCTCAGGTCAGAAGCAGCAGGTTAAATAAAGCTCCCATGCTGATCAGTAGTAGAACTGGACCCCTTAGTAGCCACTGAACTCCCAACCTGGGTACTACAGGGAGTTCAATCATTTCAGTCATGTCCTACTCTTCGTGACCTCATTTGGAGTCTTCTTGGCAAAGATTCTGGAGTGGGCTGCCATTTCCTTTTCCAGCTCATTTTACAGATGAGGAAACTGAGGCAAAACAGAATCAAGCGACTTGCCTAGGGTTACACAGCTAATATGTATCTGAGGCAAAATTTGAACTCGGGAAGATGAACTCAGGAAGGAACCCAGTGTTCCATCTATTCTGCTGGACAAGTAGGGTAACAGGTAGATAGATGATAGGTAGATGATAGATTGGCAAATAGATGATAGATAGATAAATAGATGGATGGATGGATGCATGCATGCATGCATACATATATACATACATAGGAATAGAGGTAGATACATACATACGTATATAGATACATAGAGACAGAGAGAGGTAAAGAGAGAAAGAGGATAGGTAGATAGATACATATATAGAGAGATAAATACATAGCATACATACATAATATATATGTAGACAGAGGCAGAGATAGATAGGGAGGTAGATAGACATGCAGAGATGGATAGATAGATGAAGACAGAGAGATGGATAGATAGATGGAGAGGCAGAAAGACAGACAGATAGATAGATAGACTATAGCAGCACTTTTTGTGGTAGCAAAGACCAGGAGACAAAGTGGGTGTGCAGTGATGGAAGAATGCTAAAGAACAAAAACAGAAAACATGGTATGTGAACATAAGGGAATATTAGTGTACGATCAGAAATTGTGAATTTGAGTAATTCAGAGGAGCATGAAAATATTTCTGTGGGTAGAGAAAGAGTACATGAAGCAGAACCAAAGAAGCGACTTACCCAGTGGCCATGGTAATGTAAATTAGAAGGTCTCTAAAAGGAAACTTTGAAGAACAAATGAAAAATCTAATCATGGTCACGTAGAACACACGATGAGGCCTATCTCCCTCTTCTTGACAGGGAGTCAGGGGCTACTAGGGGAGTATACTGAGTGCATCGGCAGATGCAGTTGTGGGATTGGTTATTTTTGTTTCACTTTTTCTTTGATAAAAGGAAAGGTTCAGTTCTGAGATGGAGGATGGTTGGGGGAGGGGAGGAAGAAGGACTGGGCTGTAAAAATAGGAGGCATTGATAAATATAGGGCTATGTACTAGACCTGGAATTTCATTGTTATAGAGAACTCTTGGATGAGAAAGTCTCTTCTGCTAATGCACTTCAGTACCTGCTATGCAGCTTATAGTCTTAGAGAGTTGCTTGAGCCCTGAAAAATTAACTAACTTGTCTAGAATCACACAAAGGGATATGCTGGTAAATATTTAACAACTGGCTCTCAAAAACCCCCCCAAAACCAAGATAAACCTTGTATTAATGATATACTTTTAAATATCATTTGCATTACTAACATTTTCTCCATCACTTTCTTAAAGTCTAGAAATCAACAACCCAGTAAATCAAGTCCTGATCAAGCATTTGCCAAATCTGAGGTGTAAATGCTCGCACCGAAAATTTAACAATCAGTTCTCATGTGATCTGGTTGAGCTTACTCCAGCACCCTACTCTGGTATGCAGCTAGGAGATGTCCAAAGCAAGACTTGAACCCTAATCTTCTTAGCTCTGAGGCCAGTTCTCTATCCATTATGCTAAGCTGCCTTTATAAAAGCTTTTTTAAAAAAGAATTACGAATTATTAGCAACCATTTGAAAAATTCTTCCAAATTAAAAAAAGAATAAGAGAAATGCAAATGAAAAGACTTCTGAAGTTTTACCTCACACCCAGCAAATTGGCAAAAATGACAAAAGGCAGAAATTAACAATGTTGGAGGGGTGAGAGAATATAGACGCACTAATATACTCTTGGTAAGGTCATTAATTAATCTAATAATTCCGTAAAACAACTCAAAATTATGTGAAAGAAGTCATTAATTGTTCATACCCTTCCCCCAGAAATCCCACCAATGGATATGTACCCTAATGGAAATAACAGAAAAAAGGCCCCCTTGAGTACAAAAATATTTATAGCACTTAGGAAGACTTGTTTGAATTAATGCAGCAGAAAGTAACTGGAACAAAGAGAAAAATATTGACAATAACTACAGTAATGTAGATGAAAAGAACAGTAAATGAAGCCAAATATTATGTAGTGGTGGTGAGCAATCTTGGCTACCCTGAAGGCATGAAGTAGCATCTTTCTCCTTTAAGTAGAAAGGTGGGGACTGAGGGTGAGGAATGTTGAATACATTGCATCTAAAATAAGGAGTTAATTCATTAAAAAAAATTCACAACTGAAAATGTTTTAGTTAGAAGTCTATCAGCCAGAATTTCGGTGTGAAAAGGCTGTTGTTTATTGCTTTATTTGTTCTTGAAGAGGACCGTGGCATCAGGAAGGTGATGCCAAGACCTGCGAGTGAATTGGATTTAAGTGAGGGAGGGCTATGCAAAGGTCTGATGCAAAGGAAGGATTCAGCCAGCCAGCTTCTGTTCCACTAAAGGAACAAAAATGATCCCCTTAAACTCACTTCAGTGAATGGAGAAAAAGGATAAAAACTATAGGTCTTTTAGAAATTCAAATTTACATTTTGTGCTATTTTCATTAAACTAGGTTTACTTTATTTAGAGTTAATGAGGGAGGCAGCTAGGAGGCACAGTGGATAGAGCACTGGCCCTGGAGTCAGGAGGACCTGAGTTCAAATCCAGCCTCACTTACAGGCTGTGTGACTTTGGGCAAGTCACTGAACCCCAAATAAAAAAACAAACAACAACAAAAAAGCCAAATAGAGTTAATGAGGACAAATTACTGATAAAGACTAAATTCCTAGAACCAATTGGATCTTGAAAAGGTTTATTCACTTTGGCTGTCATCTTTTATCAGACCCTGGGCTTTGGATCCAGTCTTTGATTTAAATGTCTCCTTAACTGAAAAGATGCCTGAAATAAGAGAGATATGATTATTGTGTCGTTTGGCTTTGTTCAACTATTTTTCTTTATTACAAGGCAGGTCTCAAGGGGGTATATCCAGAAATACTAAAATCATAAATAGAAGGTGTGTGTTTGTGTGTGTATGTGTGTGTATGTGTGTATGTGTGTGTGTGTGTGTGTGTGTGTGTGTGTGTGTGTGTGTGTGTGTGTGTGTGTACAGTAAGGGTTAGGAGATGGAAAGGAGGGAAGGGGAGAGAGAGACAGAGACAGAGAGAGAGAAAAAGAGAAAGACAGAGAGAGAGAAGCTGCTTCTATCACCAGCCCTTGTGTTTATAAATCTGAACCAAGGGAAATTTTTATCTGCTATAGAAACAAAATATGATACAACAATTGTCACCAGTCTTTGTCTCATCTTGAAAGATGAGCGATGAAAGAAGCAATAATAACTAGCTAGCATTTATGTGGAATTCTAAGGTTTGCAGAGCATTTTACACATAACTCATTTAATCCTCACAGTAACCTTGGGATGTAGATGCTATTATTATCTCCATTAACAGGTGAGGAAAACCAAGATATGGAGAGTTCAAGTGACTTGCCTAGAGTCATAAAGTAAGTATTTGAGGCAGGATTGGAACTCAGATCTTCCTGACCCCAAGTTCCATTCTCTATCCACTGAGCCACCTAGCTGCTGTTAGATAACTAGAAAGATCCTTGTCCTTGCTTCAGTGTGCAAATAGGAGACAGTATGGCATCTATTGGGAAGTCTGCTGGTCTTGATGAAGAAGACTTAGGGAAATTTTCCCAAGAAATGGGCTATTATAAGCCTTGATATTATGCAATCTGGCTTGGATCTACACCTGAAAGTGAACTTGAATGTGGCACAATATTAGCTGCCAGTACAGTACTTCTGACTTAAAACCACTTTTGGAAAAAACACAGGGTTGACATTTGAATGGGAAAACCATGTTATAGCCCAAGATGACACATGTGATGAGATTCTTTGAAGAGTTATTCAATATTCTCCACAAGGAAGGTTCTCAGTGAAGAAAAACTTCTTCAGTTTGGCTGAGCTAACAAAAAGTCAGTTTCACATCTCTCCAAGATCCCCCTAAATTTCTTGTCAAGTTGAAATACAGAATAGGATATACATTGCGGCATTCATGAAAAGTCTCACCTCTCTCAAAAAGGGAATAATAGCTTCTGTCTCTTCATAAAGAAAAGAGTTTTTCAGCTCCTAGGGTCTTCACTTTCAGGATTCAAGCTCTTTTGGAACAGTAAATCAGCCAGTTAGCTAATGTCCCTCAGGCACTTTATCAGTCTTTGAACTAATTTTCTATTCTGGCAGAAACTCTGAAGGCCTTTACCCTCTAAATTGATATTTTTGTGATGGTAAATTAAGCCATCTTTTGTCTCAATTCTTACCTAGCCCTTAGTCATTGAATGGGTGTTGCCTGAGACAAACTGAGACCTGGGAAAGACCTTAATTTAGAAAGGACAAGGTCACCCACTACAGCCATCATCAGCTGGGCCATCATCAGTCGTCTTAACTTGTGTCTTGCCACTGGACTTCAATGACTCTGGAGGAGAGTGTGAGGCTGATGACTTTGCACAGCTCTGCCTCACTTAAATCAATTCACACATTTTGTCAACCTGCACCTACTTTGGATCGTTATGGGGAATGCCTTCCAACACACTACAAATAATCCTGAAGCTTCAAACCTGATAACTGCTACCCTTTTGGTGATTTACGTGAGAACAAATATTATCACCAAAAAGAAACTAGAAAACATTGCTAAGGATTACAAAGTATTAGACAAAAAGCTGAAGACATTAGAGGGATGAGACATTTTCATCACTGTTGCTGATTAAAAGTAAGAGCTCCAAAAGTAAATAGCTGGTTAAGAAAATGGATTTCTGAAAACAAATATTTCTGAATCACAGCTTGAAATATAAGAATGGGGACTATTGGTCAGAATTGGAATAAACATACTTAGTACCAGTAAGCCTGTGCTTACCAGGAGATTTCTGAATCTGATCAAGATTTTAAACTGAATAGTATCAGAGAATCAGAGAGAGATTTAGAGCTGGAAGAAACCTCAAAGAACATCAAATCCAACCACCTTATTTTGTATATGAAGAAACTAAGGAACAGAGATGTTAAGTAACCTGCCCAAGGTCACACAAGTAGTAAGTGATTGAAGTAGAGATTTGAACCCAGGTTTTCCTGCCTCCACTTCCAATTCCAGCATTTTATCCTTTATGCCATGCTGTCTCCTAATAAGGAGGAGAAAGGAAGAAACTCTCTCTGTGTGTCTCTCTTTGTCTGTCTCTGTCTCTCTCTCTTTCTATCTCTCTATATGTATATCTAGATATCTATTCCAAGCCAGATACCACAGTGGAAGAACTCTAGCAGAGAAGATCAGTAATTCAAGAAGAGTTAGAAAAAAAATTGTCTCAGATGTCTATATACAAATTCATAAGGTAGGAGTAATACAAAAGATGAACTAGAGATCTGAAGAGAGAATTTAATTTCATTGATATCATTGCTAAGATGGTGCCAGTGACTATAACATGGCTATGAAATATATCAATACTCCAGTGTATCTATGAGCTCATCAATGTGAATAATCACGAAGATCACCACCCATCCTTAACACCCATCCAGCATGATTCTCATCCATCATGTCTATCCATAAATCTGCCAAAGTTCATATACTCAACCTGCCAAGGGATTTCCTCTTTTTTTTTTGTACTGACATTGAGTAAAAAATCAAAGGAATACATGGGTTGTCCATTATTTGCCCTTCATACTTTTGAAATAACAGAAATTGTATCCTTTGTTCAAAAGGAACTGAGTAAATTTAAGGGAAGATAGAATCTCCATATATATATTTAGAACATGTACTAATGTGAAAAAATTCAAGAACCAGAGTAGGTCAACAAAGTGAAGAAGTATTTAATTACTTTGTATTTATCTTGTTTATATTTATTCCATATATGCTTATACAGGGTGTTTCAAAAGTTTTAGTTCAGTTCTAAGCTTTAATTGTACTAAGACTTTTGGGATATCCCATATATATACTTGCCATCTTCCCCACTAGAATGTAAGCTTGCGAGGTAGGATTGCTTCATTCTTTGTGGTGGCATCCCCAACTCAGCAGAGTGCCTGGCACATAGTAGGTGCTCAGTAAATGTTTATTGATTCAGTGATTGAAGAAATAGATGGAATATTGTTATAGGAATATTACATAATATACTCAAGACCAAAGAAGGAAATACATGGGATGATCAGGAAATAGATTATAAATCAGTATTATGATGGCAATGGG